TATATATATATATATATATATATAATAAATATATATATGTGTGAGGGTGTGTGTGCATGTCAGCATCTGGACAGTGAAGATTTTTCTTATTTTATCTGTTGCGACTTTTGGATTCAGTTGAATAGATAGATGTATCTTTCATGTTGATGTAGTCCTGACCCTTTCCAGCAGTACTTTACTTTTATTCTTTGGGGACTATAATTATATATATAGCTGAGATTGCCTTTATTCTTACTGAAAGCTTTGAGACTTTTACATTATGTATTGATGCATCTATATGCCCCTGCCACTCACATTAAAGTGACTGTTAATTTGCAACAGTGGGTGGTTGGCGGGTGCTCTGGTGTGGTTTTGCTTCTTCTTTCCTATCAAACATCTATCGTCCTTATCGCCCCTTTTTCTTTTTTATGTTTGTTACTCTCTTGTAGCACCTCTAATCTTCAGCACTTATATGACCTTTGTGTTGCAAGTGCCGTAAAAACTCTTACTAATACATACTAATTTGCATCAATAGTGTTATATGATTAGACTCTTGACTATAGAATGCGGAAAAGACACATTAATTTCCTGTGTGTTAGAGTCTATTTCTTCTTGTTGTACCTCTATGTAGATCTTTCTGCTGTAAATCTGTCTCCCTCTCTTCTTGAGTTGGCCCTTGCCTAAATGCCAAGAGACTTCAGACAATTACTGGAGTGTTAGATTACAGAAGTTACTACAATAAATTACCAGAGAACTTACTTTAATTTTTTTTGGTGGTTTAGAATAAAAAGTGGAGGGCTACTCACAAACTGGGTGAAAAAACATTTCAAATTTTCATTGTAGTAGACCAGTATATCTAGGATATATGATAACATCTGATGCCAAATCTTCCGCAGAAATAAAAAGGCGAACTGCAATGGCTAAGGCTAGTTTCAATAAAATGAGCCCAATCCTGAAAAATAGAAACATATCAATGAACACCAAAATGAAAGTCCTGAAATGCTATGTTTGGTCAACCCTTCTATATGGCTGTGAATGCTGGACAATCACTAAAGACAGTGAAAATAAAATAGAGACAACAGAAATGTGGTTTCTTAGGAGACTGCTAAGAGTATCGTGGAAGGAAAAGAAATCAAATGAGGTAGTGCTTGATGAAGCCCACGTGGGACGCTCAATGTTAAAAACAATCAGGAAACGACAAATGCAGTTTTTGGGACACCTGAATAGACATAAGGGTCTTGAACATCTAGCTCTCACTGGCAAAATTGAAGGCAAGCGAGGCAGGGGTAGGCCCGGAACAACATACTTAGGGAACCTAAACAAATGGGTAACAGGGAAAAATCAGGGAAACGTAGCTTTTCTGAGAGCATCCGAGCAAAGGAATGAATGGAAAATCATGATCGCCGATGTCTGTCGCAGATCTGGCACTGGATGATGATGAGACCAGTCATGTTTGAAAAAGTACTTTCAAAATAGATGTATAGTTATCTTTATTAAATTCAGTCCACAGCTTTTCTGTTATATGTTTTTTGTTTTGTTCAGAATTTTAAATATCTCTTTGTCTGAGTACTTGATTTCTTGTCATAGAATTAGGATGCATAGCTCATAACAAAAATTTTTCTGTATGAATGTAGACAGACCCTTCCCCCAATTTGCTGAGTGGTGTTGGTAGTCTAGTGCTTAGGCTAGTGGACTCGCAATGGTGAATTTGCAGATTTCGGGGTTTCGAGCTACAGGCCCGAGGTTGTACTCTTGGGTAAGGCAGTTTACACAAATTTTCCATACTTCACCCAGGTGTGAATAGGTACCCAGTTGTAGACTGCAAATTAGTGCCTGTAAAATGGCAGCTTGCACTGTATGCTTCGCAGAAAGTTGAGATTGTATCAGAATGCTATAAGGGCTGCTCGGGTAATAATGTAAAGGGCTTAAAGCTTTCTGTTGAGCGGGAATTTGCGTTACACAAATGCTGTCCATTATTTATTTATCTTTTTTTTTGTTCTTCCTGAAATGTGGTATGTACTATTGCATGTTAAGTGCTCCGCCTTCAAAATGGTTTGTTCTGTGTGTGGGAAGTTGAGCTGAAAACATATCCTGTTTATTTAATGCAAATAACACTTTTTAAAATGATTATATTTAAGTTTCTCCTTTATATTTTGCTGTTGTGATTTTTGATGTTTGCAATAATCTATGGGGATAAAAATTAGTTATCAGCATATTCAATTGTATTCTTAACCTGAAGAATGCAGTACTTTCTTCCCCATGTGACTAGATTAACTTGAAATATTTTTTTTTCGACTCATTGAAATGAAGGGGGTAGATTTTCAAGGTGTCTTTACTTAGAGTGAGATGCCACAGAAAGAAGTTTTCAAAATTACAGTTTGAAATTATCATCTCTATTTCATATGATTATTTTCTTTTCTCATTTCTGTCGCTGTTTTGTTAAATATACAGTCAAACCTCTTTGTACTGCCCTCGGTTGTTCCGCCAGCCCCACTTACCGCCAGGTTTTGCCAACGTACGAAAAGGAACACCTATGTAAACATAGTATAATTGTGCCTTTACACCACCATCGGCCATCCGTTAACTGCCTGAGTTGTATGGTCCTTATTTAACTAATGGAACTTTACCTCACTGTCTCGCCAGTGAATTGGCTGCCAGAGGTACACACCACACATGGCTGCTTGATAATCTTTCCAACACTCATCTCTGCAAGCTAGGCCTATTTCTATGCGCTTGTGGATTTTCTCTTGATTTGCACTAATTATGAAATTCTATTATTTTAAGAATTTGGCCAATATTAATTAAAATTGGAATGAAGTTTTAAAGTCACCTGGAGAAACTTCAAAGGAGCTGCACCAATTTGGCCTGAGAGCAAAATATCTGGCGTCGCCAGCTATCAACCCAATGGCACAAGGGCTGGCGTGCACTTGTGAGCCTTATTGTAAGGATTCATGCTCAAATCTACATGATATGTCTAAGGTAGCCCAAGGACAGACGAGTATCGGGTTTAAAAAACTCTGTATGTCTAAAGTCCTTGACACATAAAGCCTGGCTTTTGATCCTAGCTTCTTTCATTTGAAAGCTAGCTTAGCTAGAGTTGACATGTAATCGGTGGCTACTTATTTTTTACCAGTGCACAGTTTGTCTCTAGTCTCTACCAGTTTACCACTAGTCAAGATGACAATTAGTGATATATCTCATTATACCGCTAGTCCTGCTGTACCACCAAATTTATGTTTGTTCCTATGTAGGCGGTATAACGAGGTTTGACTGTAATCATTAAAAAATCATTTGCATTTTGTTTGTTTTATTGAGCTTGCAAAGCTTTAACATTTTGCCGTCACATCTCCCCGATCAGTGATGTTTACCACCCTGTTTCTTCGGATTTTCCCCAAAGTGCCTTTGATGGCAAGGGTTTTTACTATATGAGCCTTGTGATGGCAAAGTGTTAATAAATAGGCCATATTTGTTTTTTTGTGCCACTATTGCTGTGAAAATTGTTCTGTTTTATAGCAGTGTTGCTGTGTTTGTGAATAGTTTTGATCCTTTTGCATTTATTCCTTCTTTAAGGCATTTTCTTAAATGTACTAATTTTGTCTGCTGGATCAGGGCTTTTTTTGTGAGTGCTGACTTTGCTCAAATACAGCTCTGTAAGATTATGTAATTTTTGTTGGTCTTTAAATCTCCTTAATTTATTAGAAGGAATCTCCTCTTGGTGACTTTGTGGTTATGTTTTTAAGGTCGTGGATATTTAGAAATCTTTAAGAGATAATCTCTGGATCGATAACAACATTAAGAGATAATCTTTTCACACATTGTGTGATTGTCTCTGAAGTGATGAAGCTGTGGGAAAATTGGATTACTTATCAGGCAAGGGACAAGTTTTATTAATATCATTGGTTGTGGAATTTTATCAAAGTTGTAATAGTAATAGCGATTGGAATTTTTTTCTTCCTTACACTAGTTGTCATCATCACTGTAAGTAAACAGGATTTTTCACCATTCTCATGCTCATTGAACGGGCATGGTTGACAGGCAGATTCAACCTGTGGAAATAATGGACTGTTTCAAAGGAATGGCAGTGTGAGTTTATGCTTCATGTTTCTTGTTTGGTTTGATTATGATTCACACTGAAGGGTCAGGGATCATAAAGACATGTTCACAGTGGGTAAAGAATTTTGCAGTGCTGTTGCTCTCATATCCCCCCCCCCCCAATTGTAATTATAAACATGGGTGTAAGTCTTTTACTAGCAGTTTTCAAATAAATGAAAATAAATATTTCTAAAATCAAGATTCCTTTTCAATTTTATTCTGTTATGATAAGACCCTAAAAATGTGTTACATGTGTTTGATAATTTGCATTAAAAAATGACTGGGGTATTTACGAAGTTTTAACTTTAAGCTGACCATATTAAATGTTTCTGAGAAAAGAACACACTATGAAACTGTTCTTTGGTTGTTTATGCAAATCTCTTGTCTTTGCTTCTTTTGTTTTTGTTGTTGTTGCTATATATTGAAGTAAATTGAAGGTTTTTTTTATTTAAGCAAGACAAAAGTTATGCTCCAAAAGTATCTGACCGGCGGAAAGAAGTACAGGGACTTCCAATATAACAAGGCTCCCAAACTACAGTCAACTTGAAATTTTCTCCAGCTCAACTCCTTATATATCCAATTAAAAATATATATAAAAATTGGGGGGGGGGGGGGGGGGATTTTTACTGAAAAACATTGATTAAAGGCACAAAAAATGTTAATTTTTAGTTTTCAAGGACTCTCAAGCTTTGGAAGTCACTAACTTTGGCAACCATTTTCTCACTAACTTTACCTCTGAAACCACGCGAGCTCACTTCGTTCAATTGCAAATATCTTGACTTCTATTCAATATAATATAGATGGGTATTTTTTTCGTGGAAAGATAGACAAATAAATAACTGCAGAAGGTCATATGAGCGTGCGGAGCACTTGAAACGTTTTCAGTTTGTAGGAATTAATTTTGAATTGTGGCCGGATGGCGGCGGAAGCCTACTAGATCTTGTCAATTTTAGACCACCAAGCTATCTTTAACATGTGCAACTTGCACACGGGACCTCCGGGATTTTTTGCCCTTGTACGAGAAGGATAGGTGTTAGACCTTGCCTACCTTCAGATCAGGGATGTTCCTGACAGATAGGAGTAAGAAGGAGCCATAGGAGTAGTTTTAAGGCTACAGACAAGAGTCAGGAGCTAGAGGAAGGGGCAAAGTGAGGTGAAGGCAGAAAGTAGAGACAAAAGCAGAAGGTACAACATTAATAGAGAGCAAGAAAGAAAGTGAAAGGAGAAAATTTTAGAGAAGGTAATTTTCCGTCGCTGTCAGGTTTCGAACCCGAGGCCTATTGCATGAGAGGTGAACACAGTAACTTCTAGACTACGAGAGCCCCTGAACCAATTATTGGTTGGGGCATGCATGGATGATATAAAAAAAATTTTACAAAGCAAGTGGCTCAGCTAGACTTGTAGCCACTTAACAAAGAAGTTGTGAAAAAGTTATAGACCAACATGAGCCTCATCTGAGAATAAATAATATAATATTATTTATTAGGCCTGCAGTACGCAACAACACGATCTTTTCTCCTGACGTAATTGAGAGAGAATCGATGTTGATCAGTATTAGCAGTCATCTACTAGAGACGAGAGAGTTCGCAGTTATCTGCCTTAGATCTGGCAAAATTATAGAACTTGGAAGTTGGGAGGAGTCCTATTCCGAGATGGGGTTGAATTTTGCAGCTCGCGTTGAGCAGGAAGCATCGGACTTTGGGCTTGAGTGATGATTTTTCGAGTCAGCAGTCAAAGCATTGTCTTTTGGAAGAAAAAGAGGCCAGGCTCAACCCAGTGAGGTAGATTCTAGCTCTCTGCAAATGATTTAAATTTAAAAAGAAACGGGAGGAATTCCGTAACGAGCGACCACTATACTACTATGAAACAGAGGAGCTGTAAACAGTAAGGGTTTGGGGTAGGGATGGGGGTAGGGATAGAGGGTTTGGGTAGGGTTTTGGTATGGGTAGGGTTGGGTCAGGGTTAGGTTTAGGTCTCTTCTTTATTGTGTTTGTTGGAATGGTCGCTTGTTATGGAAGTCCTTCCGAACAGTCGATGCTTACTAAACCTGTAACTTGTAAGGCAAGGTGATGATTAGTTCTGATTTTCTCATCTGTCGCCAGGAAACTAGATCTAGATCTAGATCTAGACTCTAGTGCATTTTTACATTGATGTTTGCAAAAAGAACTAGAATCTAGATGTAGAATCTAGATCTATATTTTGATCTATTTACTATTTGTCAAATATGAAACCTGCACAACAATTTAGATCTAAATCTATGTGGACATCGACACCGTGGCCATGACTGCAAAGTGAGTTCATTTTTAAGCTTAAAAATATTTTTCATCTCTTTCTCTTCTTGATCTTTCAAGTTCTAAATAATAATCTAGATCTAGAATGTAGATCTAAACGTTGTTGGCTGTTGGTTACATGTAAAAATCTAATTTTTTAAATATTATTTTTTAAAAGTGTTTTATGATGCTCGCAACTGCATTTAAGGTCATAGTGCGGGGGGGGACATTAAAAAAACATTTTTCAGTTGGTAGACTCTAGGAATTAAAACTTTTGCTCGGGTGTCAGCCGAAACCTACTTATATCAATTTTAGAACCACCAAGGGATTTTTTAAAACGTGTGCAACTTGCTTACGGGACCTCCGAGATTTTTCGCCCTTTATCTATGAAGGCTGGGTGTTGGATCTTACCTACCATAAGATCAAGGGTGTGGATGAAAGACAGCAGTGAGAAGGAGCCGAGGAGTAGCAGTAAAAAGGCTGCAGAGAGAATCAGGAGCCGAGAGGAGGGGGGAAGGGGGGGGGGAGTGGAGATGAAAGCAGGGGATAGGACATGGTTAGAGAATAGAAAAGGAGGTGAAAGAAGAACATTTTAGGGAGAAGAACATTTTTCTACGCTGTCCTGGATTCGAACGCAGGACCTATTGAATGAGAGGCAAACACCATTTATAACCTCGAGACCACGAGAGCCCCTTATGTGTAGTTTGTGAGGCCTTTTAAAACTTTACTAAAACACTTTTTCAATTTTTGACTTATAAATGATTTTCATGAAACCTACTACCTCTATCAGACTGAATTTAACTGACCCCGTTCCTGCAACTGCTGCCCTGACATTGCATGATGAGCTGTTTGACAAATCTGTACTGGTATTTGAAAAAAACGTGTTGTTAATACAAAGAAAAGGGTCGGTTCAGTCGGGGAATGGCATTTTGTACGAGCTCTGTGATTTTTTGTTTTGTTGAGTTTTCGTGTTATCTGTGCCCCGCTGTATTAATCAGTTTACAAACAATTAGGCAGCTCTGAAATAATATGCTATGCTTGAATTTCAGGTTTTGTAGGAATAAGATTGTTGTTTTTTTTATTGTGTTTTACACATTTTAATCAAGAAAAAAAAATCATTAAAATGTGTATGTATGTATAGTATAGGATTTGACGGCGCTTGCAACTTATTTTATTTGTAATCATATTTCAGAAGTGTGGTGTCAATTAAAATCCATACTTTTTTTTGGCCTCTAGATGTCCATTATGAGAGGGATGAATAAGCCATATGTTGTGATATGGACTGTTATCATTCTTGGAGAGTAAGTATAACTTGATTATAATTTATTATTGTTTCATGTTGACTAATCAATCGTTATACATGTATATGTTCTCTAAATTCTGTTATGACATCATATTCACAACTCAGCAGACAATAGATCTACAACAAAGCACTTGATTTTATGCATACTTCATAAAATTTACTCTCTGAAAGAGTTGATATATAAATTTAAATCACTTTTGACTCCTGCACAGCACATTCCTTTACTGTTTCAATGTTCTGTGTGTTTTTTAAAGCACTTTTTGACCTGTTTTCTTCGTAATGCATTCATGATGTATTTTTCAAAGTGTTGATGTATGAAGAGTGCTTTTTGTGATGCAAATTTCGTGATGTGCTTTTCAGAGTGTTGATGTATGGTGGTTATGGAATCTTGGTCAACTTGAGTAAAGTGAATGGGCGTCTTCCGTACTTGCCTTCGTCCTTTGTATTGTGTACAGAAATTCTGAAGGTTTGCTGTGTGTTCCTTTTTGATGAAATGAAACATCAATCCGATGAATTATTCTTATTGTGTATTTGAAATTTAATACAAGTATTCCCTTTTCTTAATATGAAATGGGAAGTGAATAGTTTTGTTGTTGTTATAAAATTTGTCTTTTGAAGGTAAAATCATTTTAAATTCTCTCACTACCATGAGCAAAGTAATTATATTTTTCAGGGCATAAAGTATTTGTAATGGTGACGATTGACATCATAAGCTGTGTAGAAAGAGCTCTCTGATGTCCCCATTATATGACAGTATTTGAGGTTTTTAGAGTTTTCTCAGTAATATGAATTAATAACTGATTGTAAATGTGTTTGTGGAGTACTAATTTTGGTTTGTTATACGCTTGGTCACTGACACCAAAGAGAACCCTTATTAAAATGTTAAAATGTTAAAAGCATTAATTGTGGTATCAGTCACACACCTTGCTCCTCAAATAATTTTGAGAAGTCAAAATGGATTCTTTTCAGAAGATTAAATTGTCAATGATAATTTGTCGTGATAAGATAGTAATATAATATAATTACATATATTCTTGTCTGTGTCCTCACCATATGATTTTACTCTTTTTCAGATGATCATATGTCTGGTTATTCTTTGGTCAGAGAAAAGAAAAGAAATGTCACGGTCAATCACGTTATATTCAGCTCTTCCCTTTGCTGTGCCAGCTCTGTGTTACTGTGTCAACAATAATTTAGCTGTTGTTTTACAGTCTCACATGGACCCAGCAACGTACATGGTATTTTGGCAACTTTCAGTTTCTGAGTTGTTTGTTATAAGAACTTAATCTCTTATATTGTTTACATTTATGTGATTCTAGTTGTGAAGTTCAAGATATTTTCTTCAAAGTGGTATGTTCTCAATAAATTTTTATACAGTATAGTATTTGAGTCTTTATATTTTTAGTTTCAATCTTTATTAAAAGAGGTTAACTTGGTCATGGACTTATAAGAAGTGCAATGCCCTAGAAAATTCAGGTGTACAATGGAATTTTTTTTGTTTTTATTGAAATCAGGCTATGCACTTATCCGGTTTAGATTCAGTGAGCAATATTACGTTTTAAGGAATGTATTGTTTTATTTAATTTTAGGAGTTTCATATTGACCTCTTTTGTTCTATTTTTCTCTTCTTTGTGCCCTCTAGGTACTTGGGAATCTGAAGATTGTATCAACTGCTGTTCTGTATAAGTTTATCATGAAAAAGTAAGAATGCTTTACCTTTCATTTTATGAGATGTGCCTTCAAATGGTCATCATCTGTGAGAAAGACATTACTCAGATTCTGTAACCTGTGCCTTTTTACTGTAACCACAGCATTTGAAATCTACAGAGATGGCAGCAATTACAACAGTAGGCCTAATGAAAATTACAACAGAATCGTCTTATGAAAGGAAAACAAAAACCTAAAAGGGACTCGTCAGTCTAGATTTTTAGCGTGCACAGGATTCTTTGTAGTCCAATGTAATTTGATGAGATATAGTGCTAACTGATAATTGTGTACTAAAGATTATCGTTAAGATAAAGCTTTAAAATATATCAATGTTGTTCATGTTCTAGCATCTTTTCCTCTTATCTCACTTTTGAGTCATCTTTTCACCATGAACTGTTGCTTATTGTCCATTTTTCTTTTCTAGGCAGAGATTTTTTTTTTTCGAATATAGATTGATGTGGAACTTTTATACGCCTGATGAGGTACAGACTGGCGATTTCCATTGATTAACCTTTTGATTGCCAAGAAAAATGACCAACTTGAATTCCATTAGAAAATATATCTTTGAGAAGCACACAGTCTTAAAGCAACCTTTATGAAGTTTCATGCTTTTTGGAAATCTGATAACCATCACTTTGACTTTTTTGCAATGTCTTTTATGAATTATCTTGATTATATGGAGCATTACACATGTTCCTGCACATTTTTCTCTCTTGCTGAATGGCAGTGCATATATATTTTGTTTTCATGAGGTATGAGGGAAAAATTAATTGAAAAATCAAACTTTTTTAAATAATAGTGTTTTCTTTAAAACCTAAACCCTTGATGAAAAAATAAAAAATTGAAAACAGTTGACAGAAGATTCTTATGGAGTTCTGTGCATACTAGTAAACAGAAAGGGCATTGCTTTTTTACTTATCGTGATTAATTTTGAAATATAGACTTCTCCTGTATCCCCTATACCTCCAAATCTCAAATCATGTTTTATTCAAGTGTGTCCACCCTTAGTCTGCCTCCATTTCTTACTCCCCATTTTTATATTTTTATGTAATTTTGTCTGATTCTGGTTGTTTCCATACATGAAGAATATTTTGTAATAAACTTCTGACCTCTCACAACCATCATACAACAGGCACATTAAGACTACCAAGTGGTTCGCTGTTGGTCTTTTGGCTACTGGTGGAGTTCTGAATAGGTAATATATATATTTTTAAGATGTGTGTTTTATATTAATCCGTCAATGCATATGTTAAAGTTCTTTGCTCCAGTATCACAAAATGATGATTACAGATTGTTTTTACTTGCTGTGTATGACTACGGCACATATATGCATGCTTTATTTTTAGTCTCAGAGGACAGAAGGGTAGCTCTGAATGACATGTGTTTAAATGGGAACATATAACCTATGTGCTGTGACACTGTTGAATCAGGTGCCTGTCAATTTTTGGGCTTATGGAGTTATAGGTTTAATCTTAAATCTCGTTCCTTTATCTTGCTTTTGATGAAACGAAAACCCCACCCATCTATCTTGAATAGAAGTCGAGATGTTTGGGATTGAAGGGGTTGTCAGAGGTAAAATTAGCGAGAAAATGACTGTTAAGTCTGGTGACTTCCAAAGCTGTGTGTAATGTTCTTGAAAACTGCAAATTTACATTTTTTGTGCCTTTGGTCAATGTTTTACAGTAAAAACCCACCCAGAAATGTATTTTTAAGTGGACATAAGTGCTGAGTCCCCCTAAAAACTTCGTAAAAATTGTCAGTTGTCGTCTGAGTGAAAGGACCTGGGTTTTGAAACTGCTGAAATGGAACAATTCAATGAAGAAGAAGAGAAATCATGTGGAGCATTAAGATATGATAAATAATTCTTTTTCAAATGAGTCAGATCACTGTACAGTGTGAGTTATTGTGAGCTTTCTATAGCTGATATTTTTTTCTACATTTTTTTCCCTCAGTTACACAGCATTGCAAGCAAAATCCTTATCCCTCTCAGAAATTCATGCGACCTGGCAAGGCATGTTGCTTCTTTGCTGTTACTGCTTCATCTCTGGATTCAGTGGGGTTTATACAGAGTATATTCTCAAACAAAATTTTGAGGTGAGCATCAGTTTTTTCCTGTTTATCCTTCACAATGCTGGTCTGGTCTTGTCAGTATAACTCTCTAATCTGATGAGTTTTTTATATTTGAACGTAATATTTTGTGGTTTAGGAATATGTACGCTTTAGAAGAAAGAGAATATCACCAACGATTTGGGAAGAAAGTATTTATTCATATTTTTGTAGTATGTTGACAAAGGTTAAGAGAATGTCCCTTGAAGAATATCTGTCCTAATAGAATCTACATGATTTTTATAACTGTTGTCTGTTGTTAGTTGTATGAGGGCTTGGATAATGACCTATTCTTACCAAGAACTATGAAATTGGAGAAATGACCTTGAGAGTATGGGAGGAAACTTACTAAAATGGTCAGGACTGAGATGTGATTGTTTGTTCTAAGACATTTAATTGTTGTTGCTGATTTGTAGTTTGAGGTGAGTCTGCAAGATAATGGCTTCATTTTGCTTGCTGTGGATTAGCCTGTTTAAGATAACTTCTATAGAAAGAAGTTGAAGGAGAAGATCTTGCCACAATGCTCACCTACCATTTGCTACATTAAATTATGATAGCTGCAGGTATTTTTAGGTGTTTTACGCTACCATTGACACTATTAAGATCATATAGGAGACAGCCTGCTATGACCTTGCCTGTCAGGGCCATCCAACAGTGGGAGGGTTACCATGTCCCAGGAGACAGACAGGGATACTGGATTAAAAAAACCTCTCCACATGGGAATCAAACTCACTTCTTTTGCATGCAATGACAAAGCACTTATTTGCTACACCACTGACAAGTGGAGCTGTGTCCGTTCGGCTTTGCTATTCAACATTCATGATTTTTTGCACTATTCACAGCTATTCGTAGCGTGGCAGAGCAATTAGAATGCCTTGTGATTTTGTTTTTTTAAAACAGATAATGGATTTTTATCTCATTTTTCTCAAACGTAGTAAAATTGGAACACATTATATCTAAAATCATTTAGATAAATATACAGAAATACTCTTTATTTGATGGTTACGAGACAGAGTGATTAGAGGAGCCAACAAGAGATATAAAATATACCTTTAGAGATTATCCGGAGGCTGTCTGGGTCTTGAGGTTAAGGTGTTCTCCTCTCATTCAAAGGTCCCGGGTTCGAATCCGGGTAGCGACGGAAAATTTTCTTCTCTCAAATTTTCTCCTTTCACATCCTTTTCTGCTCTCTAACAATGTTCTGTCAGCTTTTTTCGTCTTCGTTTTCTGCCCCCACCCACTCACCTCCTTTGCCCCCACCTCTGGGCTCCTGACTTTTTCTGCCGTCTTTCTACTGCTTCTCCTATGGCTCCTTCTTACTGCTGTCTTTCAGCCGCACCCCTGATCTTATCGTAGGAAAGATCTACCCTCAGCCTTCTCGGACATAGGCGAAAAAACCTCGGAGATCCTGTGTGCAAGTTGCACACGGTAAAGATCCCTTGGCGGTCAAAAATCGATAAAAGTGGGCTTGGGCCGCCACCCGGGCAAAATTCAAAATTTCCTACCAACTGAAAATGTTTTGTGTGTGTCCCGCGTGCTCATATGACCTTATGCAGTTGCGAGCGCCGTAAAACACTTACCAAAAAAAAGAGGGAATATCCCTTATATTCACTCATCACATGATAGCTCAAGCAAGGGCAATTGACTCTTAAAGCGCTGGGAATGTTGTTTTTTTTCTTTTGAAGTTAACTGTTGCAATATAGCTCCCCTTCCCCTTGGCTATTCGAAATTCGAAGCGCTATGAACGGTGACGTCGTGTCATAACACTGCACTGTCTGTAATAACACACGTGCGCTTAGTGACTGGCCCTGTGAAAGTGATGGACTTTTCGTATAGAAGAAAAAAATTAGACGGGGCTTCGAATAGCTGAAGTTAGGTCTGGGCTTATCGTATATAAAAAACCCCAATTAGATGGTGCTTCGAATAACAGAAGTCAGATCTGGGCTTATCGTATATAAGAAAAAAACCATTTGATGGCGATGTGAATAGCGGAAGTTAGGGATCGGCTCATCGTATATAAGAAAAAACAATTCGACGGCGCTGTGAATAGTTTTTGAATGTTGAATAGCAGAAGTTTGATCTGGGCCTGTCATATACAAGGAAAAACATTCGACAGAGGTATTTGAATAGCATGAATAGTGAGCTCACACTTTGAAGGTTCGATGAATTTTTGTTTCCTCAAAATCGCACAGCACTACTGACAAGCAGGTGGTAAATTTGATTTCTGGCTTGTGCTGAATAACTTTTTTTTCTTTTTCAGTTGTCTGTATATTACCAGAATGCTCTGCTGTATATGTTTGGTGTAGTTTTCAACTCAGCTGTGTGGATAATCCAGGCCCTTAGACAAACCACAGTTACCAAAGACAGTGAGTGTCCTATATGTAATTGCTAAACCATTTAAAGATATCCAAGCCTATACCTTGTGCCCTGGTCCAAATATAAGGTTTAGGTTCTAGCTGCAGGCACATATCACTTTTCTTGAGAAAATGTGTTCCATGAATTTTGATAAGATTTTCAGTTAGTACATTTAATAACTATCATGTGTTTTCCTTTTGATAAAAGGTGCTATACCACACAACACCTTTTTACATTGTATCAGACTAGTTTTTGTTGTACCTTCTCTGAACTGGGAGGTTAAGCAATATGCAGCTGTATGCACTGCAAGGCTTGCAGCATGTTATCTTATTGCCTGCAGTATTGAACAGTTATTGTGAGATGGACCAATGTACTCAACAAAAGAAAAAGGTAAACCAATAGGCCGCTGAAAGAATTATCTTAATTTTGGAAAGGTAAATCCTCTTCCTGTGACAAGTTACTGAATAAGGTAGAGCATACTTTTTTCTGTATGCGAAGATAACATTGCATGGAACAATAAAACCTTTTCACAGGCAGTTTTTCTATTTTTATTGAACAGACCATCAAACTGCAACCAATATGCTTTTCCTGGTGTTTTGCAGTGTCATTTGGCATGTGGGTGAGACAATGGGAGAACTGTTGAAAATAATAATAATTAATATAAGTTGCATTAAATGTATAGCTCATACCCACACTCTACTGTGTGCTCCAAGACTTTTGCAGCCATTAAGCCCTTTGTTGCCTAATGACGTGCCTGGTATGTCATGAAAATTCATAATTGTTAGCGCTGTGCCGTACCATGTACGTCACGGAAGTTGGCAAAATTTGCTGCTCCTGGTTACCTATATGACGTTACATGTATAACCTAGAGATAATTTTTCTTTACAGTGTTTTAGCCACAAGCGCTGCATAGATTCGTATTTCGGAATAAAAAGACATGCTTATCGATACCAAAATTCCTAGTATTTCTTTATTGCTAGGCTTGCAAGCGATCGATAAACATATACATAGGCTTGCGGGCGGCCACATGCTCTCGTGAAACGTAAACATTGAAGTGACTTTAAAAAGGCGAATAAATTTACTTTTTGACTTATATTTTCAGGTTATTCGAAATTTTGAGTAAGATGGGAGGAAATGGGGTATAAGAAAAGTGAGAAAAGTAATACAATTGAAGATCCAGTGTCCGAAATATGTCACGGGTGCGCTAGGTCTAGACTGTGCATCCATTAACACAGAGACGTTAGGCTGCTGTCCTGGATAATGAGCTCAGCTGAAAATCGTTGGTGACAGTAGGAACGTATACCCCCGGCAACGAAAGGATTATAAAGAAACCGTTCATGGTGTGAAAATTAATGAAAAAAGTACTGTACAATCGAATGTAAGCTGCACCCACTAAATTTTGGTAGAATTTGAACTTTTTCTCAAATAAGCCGCTGCAGATATGTAGCCTACTGGTACGTCTTATTTATTCAGTGTCATCATCGTTCTGCCCGCTGAATCCGCTGAAATCTTTGTTCTTCTGTGTCGGAGTTGAACAGATTGAGTTGTGCTGCCTCCCCTGTATTTTCTGAATGCTTCGGTGTGTGAAGTTCAGGTTTGGAATGTGATAAATTATCTAGCCTTCAAATTGCTCTTTTTCAAAAGGCGACACCACCCTGCTCCATTTCATTGTAAGCTAATAGATTTCATCCCATTTCCATCTGGTCGTCTCCATGGGAGTCTCGAACAGTATTCACTTGTCTGCTGGACAGTGTTTCCTAGGCGGACACTAAAGTGTGGCGTTGAAGAAAATGTGTCAACTTTTTAATGTTTTAAATTTAAGTGTATGCTTAGAATAGACGAGGAAGTGATACTCCTTCGAATGAGAAAATCCGTTTATGAGTTTCTTCGTTGTTTAAGCCGCAGGGTTCAAAGCCAAGGAAAAAAGTCGCTGCTTACGGCCCAAATTTTACTGTAGACATTTTTGTTCTGTTGTTTTTAATCTCATATCATTCTTGAGCTTTTCGTAGTGAGGAGCTTATTGCGCTCCCTATTTTTTTTCTATTGTTAATTCCCTATCATTGCAACATTATAAGAGTAACATTTGCACATTCTGTTTTGACTACTAAACACAAAAAGCATCTTCCAATAGGAATGGGCAGGGACCAGAAAAAAAATGATGACAAGTTAGCTACACGTACTAAACTATTTGACATTTTCTCAAAGAGAAGTAGTGAAATTTGGGTATGGCAAGTAAAATAAATTGAAAAATGTTATAGTTAGCAGGAATTAAGTAAGATTAATGGAAAATGTAGGCAGGGTGAAAGTACTGTGAGTAGCAGGTCTTTGGATAAGGGACATCAATGGTTCATAAATGATCAAGGTCTATTACCATTGCCAAAAAAAAATCTTCCTGCACCCAATGCACAGGATCCACATCTGGCTCTCTATATCAAGGCCCATAAGTTCGATCAGTATCAATTCTTTAGACCTTCTCTCTTCTATTCATTTTGTCCTAATGTCAAATAGGTTACAGCAGAACAGTTTTCCAAACCGCAGTCTTGGCTTGTTAACTCTGATACAAAATGATTTTTTTCTTTTTATTTACAGCTCAGGAATTATATATCTTCAATGGATATTCAGTGTTTACTTGGGCATTGATTATAACTCAGGTAAGGATATTTGTGTACCCGGTACTTTAAAAAAATGTGAGTACACAGTTAAGGATTTATATGATATTTCAGTTCTATCTTTCAATACTTTTAAGATTTTAGATTTATTGTTTTGTTTTAAGATACTAAGAGTGCGTAGTAGCAAAACATGTAACTGTTGGATTCCATAGAAGGTGACCATTACATTGTACCAGAGAATTTAGCTTCATACATTAATTTCTCATTGGTAAAACATGCCTGTTATCTTGGTATTGCGGCAGTTGTCATCCATGTAAGAGCTCATAACTGTTGATCATATAAATATAAATTACAGCTTTCTTTTTTCAAGTGAAGAGTTTCTCTTTTTTTACTTTCATGTTTTGTCTGCTTATTCTATGATAGTTGTATTGTAGAATTGTATTTTCACATGTGAGCCAGAAAGTATTGGCTTCCATTGACAATGAACTATTAACTGTTATTTTATTCAGACTTCTTCTTTTTTTACAGGCTGCCACTGGGCTGATTATGTCTCTCATCATGAAGCATTTGAACAATTTGGTCCGACTCTTCATTGTGTCCTCTTCTCCGCTGGTAACAACTATGTTGGCTCATGTGTTCTTCAGCCTCCATGTTCCTTTCGAGTTTGTTTTGTCTGGAATCTCTGTGGCAGCAGCCATTTTCCTTTACAGTTACAACTGAAGATACTGCTCAGTGAACTGCAGGTGCTATTTATTTTTAACTTCCGAGAAATGTGCTTATAAGTAAAAAAAACCTATGCTTTTACATAACTTGAATTAACTTGTTTTTAAAGTTATAAAGCTTCATGCCATATGGGTGCAGGAAGCTAACGAGATTTTATTTTAATATGTATTAATTTGTGGTGCATCAAAGTTATGTTCCAGATGATGCATTTGAAAAGTTATTTGTGCCATTGTTGTTTTGTTTTTTGATGCAACATATTATAATTGTGTAGTAACAAAAATGGTTGTGAAGATGCTGTGACTTCTAGAATGCATATATGCCATTTCCATAAGTTTTTAAATTTTTTGATTTTTAGATTTTAAAATTTTAAAATTATT